CTGGTGATTTAGACATAGAAAGCACGCGCGCGGCTGAACGCGAGTTAAACACGCAGGAAAGAGAGTTTCCTTGCCCGCATGGCTGGTCTTTCGCGCGTGGATTACTCGCTTTTCGTCGAGCGCTTACTACAGGACAAGCATGTTACGAAAGACAACTGAATTTTTATCACTGTATCGTTTCTTATTTTTCATTGGAATTACAAACAGAATGAATGTCCTGAGCCCGAGCCAGGCTGTGACTTTGAAGCAGTGGAAGAAGCTAAGGAGCCATGGAAAACACTTAAAGTGACTCCACAGGCACCCCAAGTATTTACCATACAGATGGAACAAATAGCACCATTTGGTGAGAAAATGTCAACTCTATTGTGTATTTTTCCTCTTTGCGCTGATATCATTTCACAATTTACAGAGGCAGAAACTGAATTTGGCTGTAGAAACTGCTAAATTCAATTTCCAAATACAGCAAACAAAATCTTGCAGGGTAGGAAAAAACTCTTCTTTAATACCCTTTGAAACCAGGGCTTGATAAGGTGACGGGTAAAATCTTTAAGCTCAAAATATTAATGAGTGAATGAATTTATTTTATTCATTGTCTTATGCAAAGGAGTGTGTGATATTTTAATATTTCCTGTTGTTTTCAATGCGCGGAATCCGAAGGTTTGAGGTTCGATTCCTCATGGGGAATTTTTTTCTTTGTCCTACAATTGTGACTAGACGAAAAACACCTTTCTCTTTTTCTTTACCGATCTTAAAACTAACCATCTTTTTACTCTATTTACAAGGCTTTTTTTTTCAGTACAAAGTAACCAACTGTCGAAGTAACCGTATAATATCGAGGGTAATTTGTACTCGTTGCGCGCGTTATTTCTTTTTGATATTCCATGTAGTGCTGTTGGATTAAAAAAACTGCCTTTACTTCGTTTGTCTGGTGTGCAGGAAAATAAGGCTTTAACACCAATGAACCATCGTAGTTCACGTCTTGCATATTATCAATGTGTCCCTTTCGTCTTTTCTTTCTAGATCGAGAGGTCGTACTTTGTCAAATGCTCTCAAGTAGGATCGCGGACTGTAACAGCAAAGGTATAATACTTAAGTAAGCTATAATTGTACCTTTAATCACAATTCTTTGGGCGTCTATTTAGACACCTCAAGTCAAATTGTCGTGCAATAGGTAGCCTGCAGAAGAGGCGTTTTTAAGGCGAACGAGGATTAGAGAAAGGGGAGGAGTGCCTTATTTTTCTCCGCCTTTCCCTCGTACGTCACTTCCGCTTGCCTCCGTTCGCCCTATTGTGCATGTTCAGCGGGCTATGCGTTTCCGTTCAGTACGTAGTTAATAGATCTCTATACAATACCTTTAGATACGTAATATTTTTGTATGTTCTTACTCTCTTAGGATCGTGTTTCAAGTTAAGATATCTTGCATTCTTTGAAAAGATTCCTATCAATGCTTAATCCTAGTCATTTGCTTATTTTTTTATTTATTTTTTTTAATGCAGATTATCTATACTGTAGTCGTCCAAGTTGAACCAAATTCTTCGCCAGTCACCTGTACCTGTGCCAAGGTGAGATCACTCTTTTGTGTCTTAAAAGTAAAAGTAAAACTACCTCTCAGTATTTCCACATTTAATTTTAATTCTCGTTCGCTTTGTAATGTAGTTGCACTTGTGAATGTGAGTTGCACTTGTAACATGGAGCGCTTTTCAGTTGACTGTCATAAAACCAAAACCAAAGCAATCACAACGGCTAATCAGAAGAAAGGGAAATTACTGAAAGAGCCAATGAGAACTCAAAAGAAAAACAACAATACCCAAAGGGCGGGAAAACGTGGCTTTAGTATTGCATCTGATTGGTTTAGAAAGTGGCGCGAGTTTTCTGGACCAATGATAGAACGCATGTAATCTCAGATTTCTTTCGACACGCAATTAAAAAATCCTCTACCTGGTGAATACAAAATCACGACGACTTTTTGCTTTCTTCTTTCTCTACTGTCCTGATTTATACCCGCCCTTGGAGGAAAGTGTTGTTATCAAGACTGTTATGCCATTTGAAATCTCTTTGTCTCTGACAGGTAAGGGAAAATAGGCAATATTTTTTACGATGTAATTTTACGTCTCTTGGAATCGATCAAACTTGTGTTTTTGGCTATGTTAGCAAACTTGCTCTCGCTCTTGTCTCAAATTTTTTTATTACATGGAAAGTTATGGCATAAATTAATGCATCTATAAATCCGTCAAAAATTTTTGATCGCTGCATAACTCTACGAATATAAACCTGGTCTGGTGCATCAAGAAACACTTTCTGACTAACACGCATCTGAATGAGGGTGCTGTGGTTTGAATTGATGATTAGCGCTAAGTTGTCTTTTACCACGCGATGAAAATTCAATTGTAAGGTTCCTATACAAAGTAACGCAGTAAATGGGGACCTAAGGCAGTCAGGAAGGCAACGCCGCAGTAAACGATGGTTTAAAAATGAATTTATA